GGTCACCCTCATTAAATAAAGTCTTTCACTTCACTTCACTATAATATATTAAATAAATATATCCCAAAGAAATTGCTCTATTTGATGTTCAGAAACAATTATTAAAATGGATGGGAGTAAACAAACACTTCATAATTTTCAGGGGCTTAGCCGGGATTTCTCAAAGGGGGAGGGGTCACACTGTGTCAAAATGAGCGTACTCACCAGATTGTCATGCCGTTTTTGCCACCTGTTGTAGGTTGTTTGCTTAACTTACAAGATGGGGGGGGGGGGACCGCTAATGTCTACCCTCAAGTCAGGAAAATGTTGCTCTGACTTTCACTGAAGTTGTTTGTTGTCTTTATTATAATTTTCTTTAGTATCGAATCACCATACTATTGTACATTTCTGAATATCACGAATTCAGAAAATGCGTGATTACTTTTTGACGGTTCTCTGAGCATCACAATAATAATAAAATATACAGTACACCTTCACTCATCTCATGCAAACACAAAATGCTGGGGGTAAGTGGTAAGCGGAACTGTAAAATCACTATGCTGGATGCTTTATGTTTAGCCTGCAAGCAGGCTCACCTTTGAGTCACGCGTGTGAGCGACAAAGAGCAAAGCGATCCGGCAGGAAGCAGTCTGGTGAAGAGGCGCCAAGAAAGTGAGCCTGCCTTGATCATCAAGGCTTAATTCTATCACATGACTACCAGAGCGAGAGATCCCATGAGATAGCACAGCGCATGCGCAAGGTCATTGCATAGCTTGCATCGCACAGCAAGGTCACGACGGAAGATTATTGTTGGAATTTCGCTTGAAAATATTGCTTGGTCTTACGAAGTTAGGCTCAAATAAACATACAGTGAGTCAACGTAGTTGACCCTATCCCAATCTAACTGTTCACGAGTTGTTACTACTCGCACTTCAACGTAGTTGAAGTTAGACGATTTCCCGCTCAAACTTGAGCATGGCGGACGCGGATGGCCCAAGTGAAGAAGAGCTATTGAGAGAAGAAAGTACACCGGGCCCCACATATACAGGATCAATGTTCGCCGCTCTTCTCCAGGAGATGAGAAAGATGAATGAGAACATCTTGGTCATAACTGAGCCCACTGAACCTAGCGAAGAATCCCCTGAGAGGGAAAACAATGACTCGGAGTCACTCGACGAACGAGTAGCAAAGTTAACAGCTAGTGGGTCAACAGAACCAAATGTTCTGGCTGATATCGCTCGCGATCTAGATGCTAGCGAGAAAACTGGGCCGGCTGTCAGCGAGGGTCTGGCGGGTATTGTAAATNTGTAGAACCACATGTATGACAAGAACTTGGTATAGTAAATGTTTACATATGAATATACACCTACAGTCTTTTCATTTGCATGTGGGTGTTCGCAGGCTTTAAAGTCTCATGGGATCTCCCGCTCTGGTAGTCATGTGATAGAATTGGGAGGTTAAACGAGACTATCACATGACGGACAGAGCGAGGGGATCACATGCCCACCCTCTCTATTCTCCCTCCCTGTTGGAGTTATACACAAATATTTTGTTTATGGGAACATAATTGCTGATCCTTAGTGGACTGAGTTGGGGTTTCTTCCCTTCTCACACCCACACCTTTGAAGAATAACCTTGCGCATGCGCTGTGCTATCTCATGTGATCCCCTCGCTCTGGAATGAATTCTCTGATAACTGATCTTGCCATCTTTTACAATGCACGATCAGGACGAAAATAATCAATTCATGACAACATCTTCGACAAACAAATGAATATAAGCTTAGATCTCTCACACAGTTTTCTGCTACGATGAAAGTTTACGAACACACAATGCGGCCATGCGTTTTACGAAAAGTCGAGCTACCAAGTGTTGCAATTGTACGAATACCAATTGTACAATACATATTTACCCAATGTCGTTTCCTTTGTATTCTTAACAGCTTTGTCCCCGATACCGTCAATCCCCGTCTTGTGCAGTTTCCTCGGACATGCAACATCGCTTGACAAAGTTGGTGCAGAAATTGTTTACAAAAAAACTACAGCTTCATAAATTGTTGTTAGATTCGCTACAAGAAACATTCATACAACCCCACTTGGCGGAGGCTCTATGTACTCTGGCTGCTTAGTCTCCCCTGAAGATTGATGGCGCGCTTCCTGTTGCATCCCTCTGTATTCCTGAAACTGTAGGATGGCCTCGACTGCGAACAGAGCGAGGCAAACGAAACCGAAAAAAGAAGCAGCTCCCGCAGTGCTCTTGCTGGTGACACACATTTCTTTGGCACACGAAGCTGCAAGCGACGAGCCGATCAAGAAACCCACCACTGCTAGAACACACAGTATTGCATGAATCGCAGGATGGCGGAAAATCCACAGCAGTCTCTCCCACAAGCCAAGCAGATGGATGATCATGTCAATCAGAGCGTTGATAAAGGCGGTCCAAGCAACGAAGTCGAAGAAACCAAATTTGGAGGCGCAGTTGCAGCCGTAGCCGTTACCATACGAGATGACTGATGAGCCACAAGCCCCGGCAAGAAGCGTGAATACTAATTGTGCACATTTTACCTTCCCTATCAGGGTCTTTGTGATGAAGTCTGGCGTGAACTTTATGAAATCGTCGCCTTGTTGGGCCATATTTTCGAACGGTTCACGTTATGTATAAAATCCGTTCGGATAAGGACACTCTGGGATGCGGAAGAATGGGCAGGGGGTTGGATTGCGTGTCAACCTCGTTTTCAAGTGATAACCCCCAGCACTTTTCTGATGTCATCTATTTGTTTAGATATCACCCTCTTGGGGTCCCTCTTGGGCAAATTTGCTCTATTTACCTCTACTCCTCGGGGAGGAGACTCCCATATAATAACGACAGGGGTGCTCAACGTACCTTTTAGGGGTTCAAAACGCGGTTTTGGTACCTCTTAGGCTATAGCTGGTTTTCCCATAACGTCACTAAAATTCGAACTACAAATCTATTGATCTTCCTGAGATTTTACTTAAATGATGTATGAGAGCAGCTGAAAACTAATATTCATACAAATTTTC